GGGAAATGCAGCCAAAAGTCTATCTGGCAAGGGTAAGGAATGCTCATGGACTCTTGAGTTAGGGCACCGCTGTGACATCCAAGATCGCTTCAAAACCCCAGAAGCCGGCTCCCTAATTATCTCGGGAATTTGTACATCAATATCTGGAATGCATATTATGGTAGCACTTGATTTGCATAGGCTCGAAGTATTCGACCTCTCCCATAGGCCCTTCAAGGATCGTGAGAGTCCACGTTATCACATCCGCTTCGCGCGCGGACTCATTTGCCTATGAGCTGTAAGCCGTTTGGACATCAAATGAAAATTGTGATGTATCTTTTGAATTAATGAGATTTCTTCCAATTTCTTTCTTGTTTTTCCATTTTATATTCTACTTGAGGTGCCACTAACAAGAGTTGAGGTGACGAGTCTCTAATTATTCCAACATTCATTTTAAACGTCTTTATTCCTTAATTAAACACAACTAATAATATTTGAAATGACTAGCACTAGTTTCGTCCCAAGCATGCATTAATGTGAAATTTAGTTGCATGAACTTAGGTATACGTGCACGTATAAACATTGTGAATCTAAGGAAAATTTAAAAAACAAAGGGGACTGATCCAAAAATTTATGGATTCCTAAGGAAGATGATCAATGAAAAACATGCGAGAGTGATGAATATTTGATTTTGGAGAGCAAAAAGCACTCTCAATCAAATTTCTTTAAAAATAAACTAACAGTGTTAAAAATTAACATATAAGCTGATCTCATTTCGGAAAGCAAAACGCTAAAAATGAATGAAAGATAAATAAACTACCGACTCTCGTTCTACTCTCCCCTTGGTACTTAAAATGAAAGAAAAACTTGAAAAGCAAAAAGGATTTCTAACAAAAACCGTTCGGTCGTGATAACGTGGACTTCCACGATCCTTGAAGGGCCTATAAGCATATACTCCTCAAAAATGTACATGTTCTGTAATACAACACAAGCCACGCTCACTACTGCATTAAATTTGATTTAAGTGTGTAGCGGTAATTTTCTGCAACGTTATTATTCGCAATTCGCTGCCAACTTGTCCTTTATAGTCAGTGTATTTGTTTTCTAAAAATGAACAACCATTTAATTATAAAATCAAATTAGTCAGCTAGAACCAATCAAGAAAGAAAGTTTAAGAGTTTGTAGATAACGCCGATAAACAAGTTCCTATTTATGTTTTTCAGCTCGTAGTCGTTTCTTCATCCTGTTTTGCAAAATCTGTTGCATTCGTGCCTTTCTTCGATTTGAAGTCACTTGTACGAATGCGTAAAGTAGAAGCACAAAAACTGAAATAAGATTAATTAAGTATATCAGGATTATACTTTCGCATAAAGGAACGATTAAAATCTGAAAGATAAAGTAATAAGAAAGCCTGACTTGGTGCTAACTTTAATCCTGATAAACCTGAGCTGAGAAAAACCGAAACTTGCTTAGAATGAAACTAGTAGAATGAAACATACCCGCTATAACAATTGCCCATGTGATAACTGTTCCGCTTTCTTCACCGAGACCCAATTGAACACTTAAAACCACTCAAATTCATTGATAGTCTTGATTTTTTCAGGTATAAACTCTGTTTAGTAAACAACTTTGCAGTTGGACATAAAGAAAAGAAATATATAGAAGAATTTGAAAAAGAGGGTATATGTGCTATTTATACTCCTTTAATGTCAGTGACCTGAAATGTACAGTTTCGCTGCGTTTGTAGACTCTAAAGAAAATGGGAACGACAGGGCTCCTCCCAGTAGTTAGACTCTTACTTAATGTATGAAAATCGCATAATGCAGATATCGCAAAATACGCTGATACGCACCCTGCATCGTGGAATTGTATATTGATCTTTCGTCCATCCGGCAACGTTGCAATCATACGCCTTCTTACGTCTCTTGATTTCAGTGATGTCAGTAAAAGATCTCCGCTTTTCAGCTGTACTATGCCTTGTTCCAAACAGGATCTAGAGGTGTCGTAACGAGCAGGAGGTCGTGATGAAACCCGCCAGTCTACCTAAACAAAGCAGTGGTACTCGTGATTAAGAAAATGAGACGAACACGACCAACTTTGGTGGCATCAGTTGCAAAGACCTCCTCCCTCAAGCGAATTCGGTAACTTTGACCGGATAAAACTCTGAAAATCCTTTTTTTACTTAGTTGATGAAAACAATTTTTAAGCTTTTATGCTTAAAATAGCACTTGATATCAGAATGCTCTTGGTCAATGAAAATTGTTTGTATATCAGTTTCATATTCTGCGCATGGATCCACCTCTTCCTCCATTTCCTCATCGATTTTTGACTAAATCATTCTATCATTTTCATGTTTATTCTTTAACCTATCACATACCTTTATGCTAATTCCCATGCACTCTGCTAACTTCTCACAGTCATACTTTTCTTCATTGCATAACATTTCGTCAATGTAGATTCCTGGATGAGCCAATATTTGCGGCGCCGTGTTGTTAAGTACGTCTTCATAACGATTCTGATAAAGCTGATCCTGAAATTCTCTGCGTACGG